TTCCCACTGAGCCAGCCAGGCGCCCCCAGAGACATCTCTTATTTTAACTTGTATCTGATTTTTTTTTTTTTTTTTTTTTTTTACTGTTTCAAGTTAAATTACTCTGCTTTTTGAGTGGCTCGGTCACTGTGCCCCACCCTGCGGTGCCTGGTTCAGAGCCTCGGGTGCCGGCTCCCTCACCTCCCCTGCCCCGCTCCGTGGCATCTTGCTCTCGTTTCCGTGTATCTGCTGCTTTATTGTGTGTCCCCCTCTGGCCACTGAGCCGTTCGTTCTCGGACAGTGAGGCCTCGCTGGCTCCAGCACGGGTGCCCTCCTAGTGCCCAGCACCGTTGCCTGTGTGACACGGTGTCTCTACCAGTTGGTGGCTATAGATAGCGAGGGCTGTAGGTTGGTTTCGCTGCAGGGAGCACGTGCCATTCAGCTGGTTCCCATACGAAAGAGGGAGTTTACGGTCAAACCTCGCATCTGCTGCCCGAAGCTCAGTCAGGCCTCTTGGGAGGTGGAACCGGGAAAGCTCTGGCTGTCAAGGTCACCACTGGCCCCCATGGAGCCACGTGGTCCCCTGCCCCTCCTCATCTGCTTGTCCCTCCCCTCTTCTTTTGGCAGACGTGGCCACTCAGACCCTGGGAGCCTTCAGTGGCAGCAGATGGGCCAGGCCCAGAAGTCCCGGCCATTGGCCCCCTGCTGGGGTGCTGGCTGTCGCAGGTCCAGTGGGCCGGGCCTTGTTCCCTTAGGGTTGTACCTTTCAGAGGCTGTGGGTCGGGCAGGCACCCTGAAGTAAACCCGTGATATTGGGGAATGAAGTGTGGTTTGACTGTAAACACAGCACTACAGTTCATTTCCGTGAAGAGCTTAGGCAGTGTGCCTTATTGCCTGCAACAGATGTCACCGCGTCAGATCAGATCGGTGGTATTTTTATGTCACGTCAATCTCACCGACCGACCGTACATACGAACGGAAGCCGGGACACGGCCTGTCGTCTCTAGCACACAGATCTCTACCTACCTAGTAATTTTACTTCTGTCCTTGCTAAAAGAGCTCTTTGGCTCTGTTTAAGCAGTTTCCGCCCAGATCACGTTCATGGGTATATAAAAAGGAAAGTGGCAGGGAATTGAATCTTTTGTCGTTCCTAACACTTCCTTGAAACATTTTGACCCAGTGACCGATGTCTTCGTTTTCCTTACGCAGTAGGGCTCTGTGCTATTCAGAGTGATGCGGCCTTCTTGTTGCTGGAATCTTCTTCCAAGCCCATGCCACCAGCCTGTTAGTGTTGATGCTGTGGTTTCTGGAAGCGTGGCCCCAGGTGGGCTATGTGGCCGCGGCACAGAGCTCCCAGCCTTGCATGTCTGAGGATGGCGGGTCTGGGTCAGGCCTGTGAGCCTTGGTCCTTGTCTGTGAAATGGGAATGATGCTATGCTAGCGTCTAACTCCTTGCGGGGGCTGTGGAGCTGCTGCCGTTAGAGCAGTGGCCCCCTGCCCGGTCTTCAGTGAAGCGACTGCTGTCCTCCTCATCGCCCCCACCACATTCACAGTGGTTAGTGCGCGTGCGCTACAGGCCCGCCTCAGGTCTTCCCCATCCCGTGTGCTCGCCTCCGGAGCAGAGGTGAGGAAGTGGGATTTCACAGAAGGTCCAGCGCCCGCTGAAGGTGAGCTGGCTTCCTAGAGTGGAACCAGAGGAGCTGTCCTTGAGTTTTGCCGTGGTTGATAAGGGAGGGGTGTGGGGGATGGCTCCGGCTCCAGCTGAGGCTGATGTCCCACCTGCTACCCCCTGCAGGTCAGCGTCTCTAACCCCAGATCCACGTGCCATAATGCAGACTGTGTGCATACCTGGTGCCCCGGGCGCAGCCTCTGGGCCAAGGTGTAGCTGGTAGACCATTTATATGCCAGTGCCATGCTGGACCCCAGCATGCCCCTCTGAGCCTGAGCGGGAGAGCCTGGCATAGGCCTGTGGATGGGGTCTCTCGTGGGAGGGGGTGTGTGCGAGATACTGTGTTACAGGGTGGACTACACTGGTGGCCGCGTTCCTTCATTTAGTCCCCGCAGCCAATGCCACAGCTTATCATTGTGTTCCTGGAAATATATTTTACATGATGGATATTGTACATGACATTCTTTAGAATCTTCTTAGTGAGGATATTTGGTTTAAAAAATCAGCTAGACGAAATTAACTTGGTCGGGATAGGCACAGCAGACAGGGAAGCAGTATTCACGGTCTGCTGGTGTTCAGGAGGACACACAGGCGCTTATGAGTGGTTGATTAATTCTTGTACTTGTTGCAAGATGTTTGAGAACGGGAATCTATTGGGAACCAGGTAGAGTCTCAGGTCTGGAAAGTTAGGATCTTGTTTTTGTAGGGAATGGATCGTCAGCCCCCTCTTGGTCAAGGGTGTGGATTCCAAGGTTGTTCAGACCAGGGTTCCAGATGGTTCACACTGCCCCTCCCTCCCTCAGGAGCCCCCTCACATAGGCAGGGATTCTCACAGAGGGGCACGGGGGTGGGGGCAGCCATGTCCTTACCTGCGGGACTATGAGTGGGTGGGTGGGGGGAACAAAGAGGAAAGGAAGGGTCAGTACCCAAAGAGGGCTCTTACACTGGGGAACTGAGGGCAGCCGAGAAATGCAGATTCCTGGCCCATATGTTTTGTTTTGTGATTCATTAGGTCTGGGTTTGGAGCTGGGAATCACCATTTTATTTTATTGTATTTTTTTTAGATTTTTTAAAAGATTTTATTTATTTATTTGACAGAGATTACAAGCAGGCAGAGAGGCAGGCAGAGAGAGAGGAGGAAGCAGGCTTCCTGCCGAGCAGAGAGCCCGATGTGGGGCTCGATCCCAGGACTCTGAGATCATGACCTGAGCAAAGGCAGAGGCCCCAACCCACTGAGCCACCCAGGCGCCCCAATTTTATTGTATTTTTTAAAAGATTTTATTTATTTGAGACAGCGAGAGTACACATGCACGAGCAGAGGGAGGGGGACAAGTAGACGACCCTGAGCTCATGACCTGAACCAGAGTCAGAGGCTTAACCTACTGAGCCACCGAGAGGCCCCCCACGGGAGTCGGCATTTTAAAGCATCCCTCGGTGATGGTGGAGACTGGTAGGGTTAGACTTTCTGTAGAGGACTCCACCTTCCTGAGTGCAAGTTTGGATGACGGTCCTGATAAGTGTGTGCTGGGAGATCTGGGTGTGTGGGCGTGGCCAGGAAGGTGCTCCTAGAACAGAACGGCCTGAGCACAGGGGTGAAGCAGGAGAGCTTTGGAGGCATGTGCAAAAGCATCTACAGGGGAATGTGGCTGGAACATTCCATGGACAAGAGGGATGTGGTGGGGCGTGGTTCTCCAAGTGAGAGTCCAAGTCAGGCAGCTGCACCTGGGAACTTGTTCGTAAGGCAGCTTTTGGAGCCCCGACGCAGACCTCCTGAACCACAAATGCCTAGAGGTGGGAGAAGCATCCCGGGTCTTCGTGAGCCCCCAGGAGACTCAGCTGCCCCTGTAGCCTGAGAGCCCCTCGTCGGGAGGAAGGGGGTCCTGAGTGCCAGGCTAGTTCAGTGGGCAGTGAGACCCCTGTCACAGGACAAGAACCAGATTTCAGGAAGCTTTTCATCTAACGGCGCATGTGATGGTGAAGAGAAATTTTGCTTCCTTTTGATTCTTAAACAGATAGGAATTTAATATAAAGTTACAGAATGACTCAAGCTAGGGAGAGAGGACTAAGTCTTCATTTAATTCTTTTAAATTCTAGAAAGTGGGTGATAAATTATTTGATACAGAACAAAAATTACAGTATTATGAAAAAGTTAATTGTACTTAGACATTTTGCAATTTACATTACTTTCTACTAACAGAAAACATTCTTGTCTAGGGCGAGAAAAAGAATAAATTTGTCAACAGAAATGGCAAACAAAGGAGCAGAAATGTCAAAGGGACTGTGCACTTACGGAGGGGAAAGTGGTTTCCTGGATTGTTAGGCGAGAATGGTGGTTTTTCTGATTCAAAAATAAAAACGCACACCTTTGAAATTAAAATCGAGTAGCATGTACCATCTTCTGGAACAAGGATCACCGTGATGCTGGAGTGTGTTGTTAAGAGTCATAGGACACAAAAACCCGCAGGCAGCAGGCCCGGTGAGCAGGTGTGAGTGACGAGGAGAGTGGGCTGTGAAATTCAAAGCAATCCTGGGTCTTCTTCCATTTAAAACCCACTTCTGTGGAACTGTGATCCACCCCCCTTTACGATGGAAGTCCCCAGGGGCACCTGGGTGACTCCGTTGGTTAAATGTTGGCTCTTGGTTTCAGTTCAGGTCCTGATCTCAGGGTCGTGAGATGGAGTCCGCTTGTCCCTGTCCCTCCTCCCCACTTGCGCTCAAGTGAGCTCTCTTTCAAATAAATAAAATCTTAAAAATTCCGAACTGGAAGCCAAGGAAAACCCTGGATTTTTAAGTTACTCTTGACATCTCATAATCAGCAGTTTGGAAGGGCGCGTCCCGGAAGACCTGCCCCAGCGGTGGGGGCTGGGAGGAGTGAGCGGGGTTCATCAGACCAAACTGCGCAGGTATTTATTACTCAGTACTGCTGTTGTGATCCGAAGGCATGCACGGGGGATTTTACATGAGATCATGCCAGTATGTAGGATTTTATTTTAAGATTTTATTTATTTATTTGACAGAGATCACAAGTAGGCATTGAGGCAGGCAGAGAGAGAGGGGGAAGTAGGCTCCCCGCTGAGCAGAGAGCCCGATGCGGGGCTCGATCCCAGGACCCTGAGGTCATGACCTGAGCTGAAGGCAGAGGCTTAAACCACTGAGCCACCCAGGTGCCCCCAGTATGTAGAATTTTAAATGGTGGATTTAGTGTGTGCACTCCATATTTCCTGAAATTACTAAGGGTTGTTTTTTAGATTTTCACACATCATTAAATAAAATTGTTGGATTCTATTTTTGTTTTCAGAAAATGGGATATGTATCATTGGTAACCATATCGGCAATTTCCTTGATTGCACAGGGAGAAGACACCCATTATCAGAAAAAAAGATTATGCACTATATGTACCAGTTATGTAAATCCCTTGATCATATGCACAGGTATGCTCTTGGAGAATTAGCAGCTCCAAATTGATAAAATGTATTAACATTCATTAAAAATTCAATGTAAAAGAATTTGAATGAGGCACAAATTAATTCTATCCTTTTATATTGAATGCAGAAATGGAATATTTCACAGAGATGTAAAGCCAGAAAATATATTAATAAAGGTAAGAACTTCTACATAAAAAAATTATCAGAAGAAAGGTAGAATGGGAAGCCTTTTTGCTAGGTAGGCTTTCAGTCCCGGGTAGCTGGGCACCACGTTTGTTCCGCTGTTGTTTTCTCCCAGTTGGAAGAAGTGGTTTATTTAATAAGTGCCATCGACACAACTTTACATCTGGAAGGAAATAATGTTAGGCACTCTCTTCTTACTACAGGCAAAAATCAACCGCTGGGGTATGGTTCTGGCTCAGTCGGTGGAGCGTGTGACTCTTGATTTCGGGGTCATGAGTTCAAGCTCCATGTTGAGTATAAACACTACTTAAAAAAATAATAGATAAATAAACTCCATTCATATTATCACTCCAAACTCTGTGCATGTGAAAGCAGAAGAGGCAGGATTTGCACTCAGGTCTGTCCCATACTGTAGCCACGTCAACTGTACGTATTTCTAAGTGTGAAGGCTGGTGAGTTTGGGGATATGTATACACACATGAAGCCATCATCACAGCCAAGCAGACAGACCTTTTGTCTCTGGAAGGTTATTCATACTCCTTGGTCATCCCTTCTGTCCGTTGTCCCCTTGTCCCCAGGCATTAGTTTGCACTTTCTAGAATGTTCTCTAAATGGCATTTGTAGTATGTGCTCTTTCTTGGTCTGGATTTGTCCCTCAGCGTCATCATTCTGACATTTGTCCACATCGTAGTGTGGAGTGCCACACCTTTTGAAGTCGTCCCACGGTTGTTGGCTGTTCTCTGTCTTCACCATTTGTTGTCTCTGCATTTCAGTTTGGAAGTTTCTGTTGGCGCGTCTTCTAGCTGATTCTTTCCGTGGCTGTTTAGCCTGTGGATGGGCTTATCAAAGTCATTTTTTATTTCTGGCACAGTGGTTTTATTTCTAGTGCTTCCTTTTGATTCTTAGAGGTTCCATCTCTCTGCTTGCATTTCCCATGTGAATTTTCCCTGAACTTGGCCATCATCTACTTTTTCCACTAGAGCCCTTAACTATTCACTTGTAGAGAATTTTAAATTCCCTGACGAGTCATTCCAGAATTCTTAACTCTGTGCCACATCTGAAGCTGGTTCTGATGCTTGCTTTGTCCCTCAGATTGTTTTTCTTGCCTTTTAACAAGCCTTACCATCTTGTTGGAGGTCCGACGTGATGCGCTGGGTGATGGGAGCAGGTGAAAGCCTGGAATGAAGTTCCTTGATAACCTGGCTAGGAAACGTGCTGTGTTTAATGTTTGCTATAGGTGAAGGCACAGAGACTCCAAATTTGTTGACATTGTGTGTGTTATTACCTGAATGTGAGGGGTGAACAAAATGGGAGAGATATCTTGAAACCTGTCTCTCCGGTCTTTCTGACTTGACCCAAAGAACCCGTGGCTCCAGAGAGCTGGCCCCCACTTCCCCCACCCCCAGGGGCAGAACAAAGGGGCCAGCAGAGCTGGACAGATGGAAGTTAGAGACACAATAGGGCCAACAAACCACTATGGTGTTTTTAATTCATTTGTAGACTCATGCTGTGACTTAAAATTTCCCAAAACCTGTAGACATTTGGAAGTATTTGTGAAACAGAGCCAGGATATTTGTAAACGCATCCTACTGGATAGAAACCCCACTCTCGTACCTGTCAGAGGCCCTTGTGTGTGCTCGTGAAGTCATTTGTATTTCATAAGCTGCTTTCAATGCTCGCAATTTTCCCATCGGCGCATAAATATTGGAAGTGGTCTCTACTCTAACAGCTGCTTGGTGAGATGTCATTTGTCCCTGCAGCAGGATATCCTGAAGTTGGGGGACTTCGGATCTTGCCGGAGCGTCTACTCCAAGCAGCCCTACACGGAGTACATCTCCACCCGCTGGTACCGTGCCCCGGAGTGTCTCCTCACCGACGGCTTCTACACCTACAAAATGGACCTGTGGAGCGCTGGCTGCGTGTTCTACGAGATCGCCAGGTAGAGCTGAGGCCCACCTTGTGTCCGAGACCTCCTGCCCCGTGCCCGTGGGTCTCCAGGCCAATGTCCCAAAAGGGGCCGCCTGGCAAGGCTCGGCCTACCCACCGGGTGGCTTTGGGCCGGGCCCTTCCTTTACCAGACAGACTGCACCGTTGTCCTGCCGACGGGACTATTTCACGTGACAGAAAGCACACTCGGCTTTCATTTTCCTTTTCGTCAAATACTTGTCCTTGTTCGCGCGTGACTAAGTGCAGAACAGCATCGGCTTCTTCCTCCCTACCTTGGCCGGCGGCCGGCGGGGCTCCCTGCTCGGCTTCGCAGTGAGACGGTTGACTCGTGAGTTCAGGACCAGAGTAGAAACGTGCTTATTGCCACCTTGTGGGGCCCACCTTGGGGGTGTGTGAGCAGTGTCCCCGCTCCTGGGACCTACCCTGACACAGTGTGTAGGATGTGCTGGTCACAGGCATGAGTGTGGGTCACCTTGTGGTGCAGCTGGATTCTAGAAAGCCCGGTCCTAACCATCCTCCCCGGCCTCCATGCCCCTCAGCCTTCGTGCTTAACCGGCGGGTGGAACTGTGGGCCCCGGAAGAAGGGAGGTGGGCTGGTCCCACGCAGGGGTGAGTAGGGCATGGGGTTGAAGAGCCCCACGGAGTGGGTGGGCCAGCGTTCACTTGCTCGGAGTGGACTGTTACGGACGAGCAGGTGAATTCAACATCTGGGTGACGTGCCTAGGCGAGGACCCAGGTCGTCTGCTCTCGCCAGCTCAGCTGCCCACTTCATAAATACAGACGTGCGTGTCCTTCAGGACACACCGACTGAGAATTGACTTGTTATTTTTGGAAGGCTGAGTGGTGCTTTTCATGGACGCTTAAGTACCGGCAGACAGGCCTTCCTGCTGCACTGAGTTCTGTACGGGGAGTGGACTGCGGTGCTGGGAACATGATGGCTGGTGCAGGGAGGGGGCTCGCCACACACACCCCTGCCGCCCGCCCCGTCTCAGAGCTGCTCCCTGCCTGCCTGCGCTTTCCTCTTCTCTCCTGGAGCCACGGACGTGGCAGCTTTCCCACGCAGAGCTCCCGTCCCAAGCTCTTTGTGGCATCTCCTGCGAATTGAATTTATTTATATAAGCCGAAAATCTTTCATCCACAATTCCAAAATCCATAAACACTCCGGAAACCAAAACGTTTCTTGGACTTCATTTGTGCCCAGAACCAGACCCGGCCCACCGTCGAGTTTTGTGGGAAAACCTCCGCTGTGACAGGAGACTTGTGGGGCTGATGCGTCTCACCACGGGGACCCCAGGGTGTGCAGAGGAACGTGGCCACCTCTCAGAAGGACGCCCCCCTGTCGGGAAAGGAGAAGCAGGCCTGAGCCGAAGGGGGACTGGAAACCCCACGGCTGCAGGGAGGACCACGCGGGTGGGACCGTATCCTCGGGTTTCCGTGTGAGCGAACCGCCCGGCAGAGGGGGACATGGGCAGAGGAGGCCATGGCCTGTCCTGACCACAGCCCTGTCCCGCTCTCCAGTCTGCGGCCTCTCTTCCCCGGAGCCGATGAGCTAGACCAGATCTCAAAAATCCACGACATCATCGGCACGCCGCCTGGGAAGACCCTCGCCAAGTTCACACAGTAAGTGTGGCGTGCGCCCCAGAGTCCCATGGAACTTGCCCCCTGCCAGGGCTGGTGGTGGCCGCCAGCCGAGGGGACCAGGCCATGCCTCTCCTGCCCTTATAGGCCCTCCATCTGCTTGGGTCCCTGCGGCTGCCGAAGAGGCTGCTCCGGGCTGTCATCCCGCAGGGGTCCTGCCGGGGCCACTCGCCCTCCAGCAGCAGGGAGGAGTTCAAATGGCCTCGTGGAAGGCCTGGTGGGCAGGTCTCGTCCTCTGAATATTTACCCGGGACTGAGAAACTTTTGGGTGGAGAAGGTTCCCACATTCAGGCTGTGCGCAGTGAGGCGTCTGTGTGACCGTCACCAGCATTGCCAGCAACCTGACAGCCAGACCACGACGGGTTACGGTTTGGTTTTGGTCGGGGGTGCAGTGGCTCCTGGGCCCTGGGGAGGCAGGGAGAGACTACTGGTATGGGTTCCTCCTTCTCCCAAGTTTCATCTCTTTCTTCTCAGCTAAGAACGTGCTGTTAGTCTTCTCGGAGAAAAGTTGTTTTCTTGCATTGATAGCACAACAGATTTCGCAAACCTCCTCCCCAGCCCCTTTCTAAAACTAGACTTTATTTTTTAGAGCAGTTTCAAGTTCAGAGCAAAACTTAGTGGAAGGTACAGAGATTCCCTGCAGGGGTGTACAGATTCCCTGTAGAGATTCCCTGCGCCAGGGTGGCGTGTCGGTTCCCACACACAAGCCCATGCCTGACACATCATCTCCCCAAGTCTGAGGCTCACGTGAGGGGGGTCCCTCTGCTGCTGCACGTCTCTGGGTTTGGACAACTGTGTGGCTACACCCCTTCTTAGTGCATAAGCTGTCATCAGCACAGGGCCCTGTAGAATCATGACGACGGCTGGTCACGTGCTTTAGATAATGGCGTGATCATTTATTATCATTGGGCTTTTAATACAGGTCGAGAGCTATGAGTTTTGATTTTCCTTTTAAAAAGGGATCAGGAATACCTCTACTGACAGCCCGTCTGTCCCCGCAATGCCTCTCCCTCCTGCACGCAATGGTGGCCTATGATCCTGATGAGAGAATCACTGCCCACCAGGCCCTGCGGCACCCCTACTTCCAGGAGCAGAGGTGGGCGCCCGCACAGCTCCGGGTGGTGGCGGGAGCTGGGCCGTTGGAGCAGGGGCGGGTAGGTCTGGGAACAGCTCTGTCCTGAACCGGGTACCCCCGAGGCGGCCCCCTCGCTCTTTGCTGGTGTGGCCTTCTAGGAGGAGGCGGTCAGTGGCCCGCGGCAGGGCACGAGGAGGGCTCAGCGGCTGCTTTGAGGTTGATGCCGAGGCTCCGGCGATTAAACCTCCAGGAGGGGCCTGGCGCACAGCAGTGACAACAGGGGACCTGGCTGTGGGGTTGGGGGCACGCTGGTACCTGGCATGGGAGGAGTTGCCTGAGGGCATCTAATCCCGCACCTCGGGGCCCTATGCCAGGGTGAGCATGGTGGCGAGGGCAGAGGTGACCAGCTTGGGAACAGGGAGAGGGACATGCCGTTGGGCTGGGCACCTTCTCAGGGGCGCGTGCCCTCCCTCTCCCTTCCCTGCAGGGCGGCTGAGAAGCAGGCTCTGGCTGGCCACAGAAAAGCTTTCTTTCCAGAGTGCCCTGTGGCTTCAGAACTACTCAGTAACCGCTGGCACGTTGCCAAGGAGGACAGAAAGCAGGTACTGAGTGAAGGTATTGAGTTGGAAACGGCCGTTGTGGCTGGGCCGGGATACCCTCGGGTGGCCCGTGTCTCTGTGGAGGACGCCCCCCCGCCCCCGCCTGGAAGGGCGCCCGTCCTCGAGGCCTGACCCTATGCCTTCCTGTGCCCTCTGACTGACCCTGGCAGGGGACACAGAGAAGGTAAATTGGCCCCGGGTGACCCGGCGAGCTGGTGACCAGTCCCCACGCCCGCAGATCATTTGCTTTAGAAACAACAGGTTCCTTCTGCAGTCTTTCCATCCGTGAGCGCCCCAAGTGGCCCCCGCCACTGGGCCCCACCAGCTCCACATCCAGGCTGGCACCACACTGTGTGGGAACTGTGCCCTTCCGTCACTCGTCCCAGCATCTCTGCATGTCACTTCGTGCTAGGAGCTGAGGTCACCGACATGTCTGCTGCAGGGCTGCTTTCTGGAATTCCAGACTGCTGTGTCCAGCCGCCTGCCTGAAGGTTCCCTTTGGCTAATAGGCTGAGTGGTTCAGACCCAATCTCCCAGTGTCTTCCCCCAAACCTGCTTTTCTACCCATGCCTTCCCTTAAAGGGTGGAGGTGGCTCCCTTTCAGTGGTTCGGGCCCCAAACGGTGACACACCTCCCCGTCCACCTGAGCCCCCCTTATTTTGCCTCCCAACTGCTGTCCCTGCTCAGCCCTTCCTGCCAGGGAGATGTTTGTGTCATTCTTGCCGGCACCCACCACAGTCCCCCCGTGTCTAGAGGGGCCACATGGGAGGCCCTCCCCACTTTGTGGGCCATAAGGTCCCATCACAGCTGCCCTCTTTTCTCTGGTGCCATGGGCGGTCCATCAACGAACCGTGGGGCTCTTTCCCGGTAAGACTTAGGACACTGTGATGTGCATTCCATCTGTTATATGCCATGAAATTATTTGCAACTATTAAAAAATGTAGGGGCATCTGGGTGGCTCAGTTGAGTGAGTGTCCAACTCTTGGTTTCGGCTCAGATTGTGATCTCGGGGTCTTGGGATCGAGCCCCACGTCGGGCTCTGGGCTCGGCGGGGAGTCTGCTAGAGATTTTCTCCCTCCCCTCAAATAAATGAATAAATAGAATCTTTTTTTTTTTAAGTAAAAAAATTCTTAGCTCACCAGCCACACTAGAGCAAGACGGAGGGCAGATCTGGCTGACCCAGAGTTAGAGCAGGGCCGCCAGCACAGCCGTGGCCTGTGGAGTGCGGCTGTAACCGTCTCAGTGTCCTCCCTCGCGTCAGGCCAGGCCAGGCTACAGTCAGCTGCCCCACGGGGCGGACTCCATGTGAAACTCCCGTGGGACGTTCCAACAGCAGCTGGGGGGCCTGGGTGGCGGGGATACCGTCCAGTCGCCGTATGGCCACACCTCTTGGTCAAGTTCCATTAGGCCGAAGTCATGCAAAAGAGCCTATTTTGTTTTTCCTAATTTCCATGAAGGGGACACCATTGTACGTTCATCTGACCTGTGTTTTGTTTCAAGAAACAGTCCCTAAAGCCAGAGGAGGACCATCCCAAGAGACCAGGCCCAGCGTACGTCATGGAACTGCCCAGACTGAAGCTTTCAGGAGTGACCGAACCATCCTCGTACCCCAGCCCTGCGCTGCACCCCATGTTCGGCCCGGGGCCCAGCAGGAAAGGGCCGGGGCTGAGGCCCCTCGAGTGTGTTGGCACCCGCCGGAAGGTAGCCCATCGCGCTCGCTCCCCGTGGCCCACGGCTCTCGCGCCGGCCCCGCTGAGTGTCTGTTTCCTTCAACAGACGGATGCGCACAAGGACACGAAGCCCGACGTAAAGCAGGACCGCCTGCCCTCGATCCAGAGGAAGGGCGGGGGGCGCTGAGACTCCGGGGCCGGCTCGCCCCTGGGAGCGGAGACTGGGTGTGGCCGGCCTGGCCCGAGGATCGCCGCAGAGCCCCGGAGGGAGGGCTGCGGGGAGAGGCCTGGCGTGTCCCCCTCGCAGAGCCTGGTGTCCCCGGAGGCACTGCCCCGCCGGCCAGCCGGCACCCCCTCGGCCTGGAGCCCCCAGCCTGCGGCTCCGGGTGTCCTGAGAGCGGCTGTCCTGTGCTCCAGCCAACACATTCGTAAAACTACCTCAGCCCGGGCTTTCTTCTCATGTTTCCAACTGAGAAATTTGGGGCAGAGAATATTTTGTAACTTTTTAAAAAATCTGAATCAAAACAGAGGTCGGAGTTTATACACTGTGTTATTTAGGCTTGGTTTCAGCACAGACTCTGCACGCCGTGCCTTCTTTAGATGTCACCCGTCGCACGGGCACGTCGCAGTTCCATCACGCTGTCGGAGTTTTATTAAAGAATAAGCTATCAGTGCGATATTTTAATATTTTCTGAGTTAAACATGTGTCCTCACATGCATTTCTCTATCTTAGGTCTTGGGAACATATGTGGGAATTTATTTTGTTGGGAAGGCTTTGGTACAGCTTAGTTTTGTGGCACTTGAGAAGCCAGAGGCTCTGCCTGGGTGCGTGTGTCCTCGGTGCCCTGGGGAGCTGTGGCCAGACGAGGCCGCCACGCGTGGGGCACGTCAGAGCACCGGCTTCCCCGCGGCCTCTCGTGTTGGCTCCACAGTAGAGATGCTGCTTTGCTTTGCCGCGGGCCCGCCTGCTGGGCAGAGGCCAGGCCCCTCCTGAGCCCGTTTTTGTCTTGGGATGTAGCGTAGTGACACCTTCGTTTTCTTGTCTTCACAAATGTACACCATTAAGAAAAAGCAAATTTCCCAGGTTAGTTTTAGTCTTCTTATTCCCTCTTTTAAGACAAATCTGTGATGTTCTTCCCCACGCTCTCCAGTGGCCGCCGCCTCTGACCTGCCTGCCAGGCCGGGGGCAGGCCGGGGGTCCCAGGCTGGCCCGGCCGAAGGGCTGGTTCAGCACCAGAAACGACACCTCATGTGTTGGGGGCACATGAGGAGGGGCTGGAAAGAGCTTCCTTTGAGCCCATTTAACACCCTGGCAGAGGCTTCCAGATTCCCTGTTGTGGCGGGGGGCTCTCTGGGTCAAGAGGGGCACCGCTCTGCCTCTGCGGAGGACCTGGGATTTCCGGGGCCCCTGGGAGCTGAGGCAGGAGGGGGCCAGACCCGGGTGGTGCTGGGGCGGAGCGGCAGGAGGGCCAGAGACAGGAGCAGATTCCTGGGATTGCAGAGGGCCCTGCAGGGCCTGCGCGCCCACACTCTGAACCCAGGCCAGGGAGGCTGCCGGAGAACCAGGCCCCCGACGGGCAGTGGCTCACGGGGCATGATCCTGTCCTCGAGGACTGGCCCTAAGGACCATTTAAGGACTGACAAGAATTTGTGTTTTTAGGAAAACTATTACCCCTGTAAGTGTATAGAACTCAAGAGGAAAATCTTTAAAGTTCTCCCGCATGCCTTTCTGAGAAAGCAGACTTGTCCCCATGGAGGGCCTCTCTGGGGCAGGCCAGGCCCTTGGGGGTGCGACCTGTCCACCTACTGAAGCTCTTTTGGCTTCATGTTGGTCTCTGGAAGATAAGGCTGGGAGGCAGTCAGCCCGGAGCCAGGAGCCCGGAGCGCAGCCACACCAGGCTCCAAAGCGGGCACAGCCAGTCCAGCCCCCTGAGCACTGGCATCCACGGAGGAGCAGGCCACGCTCTCCCTTCCGGCACCCACCCAGCCGCCCTCAGCATGGGAGCCAGTCCCCGGGCAGCTGGAATGGCTCTGGCTGTGCCTGGCCTCCAGGCCCTGTGCTGGGCCCGTGCGGGGGGCCGCCTACACCCACTGTCGAGGCCCTGGTGGGTCTCCTCTCACTCCAGGCTGGCAAGGTGGTAAAGGGGACCTGAAGGCCAGGTGAGCCTTTGCGGGCAACGCTCTTCCCGTTGGCGGGCAACGACAAAGCCCAGTGCGCCGCCTCCGCTCCTCCCCCAAGGGGCCCTCCTGCCGTGAGCCCCAGAGGGCACGAGCACACACGGCCCGGGTGCCCAGGCGTGGAGGTGCGGCCTGGGGTGCTGGTCCCAGAGCTCCCGTTGACAGCTCCTTCACGTGTGAACCTGCTTGTGGGGTAGAAAGAGGGAAGGCGACGCCACCCAAGGGACCTGGGCGCGGCTGCTCCTTGCTCCCTGCCCCCGGCACTGGGGACACTCGTGGGCCTGCCGCGTTTCCTCTGGCTGCTGGCAGGCTCACTGACTCCCGGGCCCGCAGCCTTGGCCCCCTCTTAGCTTCCCTTGGACCCGTCCCCACGCGGGCAGCGCGCCTTCACCGGCCCCAGACGTGTACAAAAGCTCAAGGCAGCAAGTAAAAGCGAACCCAAGTCGTGCTGAGCCTTCCCTGGCTTCCGTGGGTGATGGACCTCGGGGTTGGCCCGGGGGCCCCCTGCCCGGGACCTGCCAGGTGCTGCGTGTCCGCGGTGGCGGGAGGTTGGGGGGAGTGGAGGGGTGGGGGAGGGCAGCTACAAGGCATTTGGAAGCCACCTTGGACTACTTGGTCCAAGAGCCATAAATTAGTTCCCACTACAGATGCATCATCGACAGCAAACCGGGACCCATCTGACAGCTTCGCCCCGCAGCCTGAGCCCAGGGGGCCGGGCAGGGGGCTGAGCCAGGACCGCCCATCTCCAGAGATGTGAAAGGAGGGATGGGGGCGGGGGGCACGGCTAGGGCGTCCAACCCAACAGAGCCTGAACTTTAACACACGTGACCGTTGCCCTCATGCCCAGATTTCCACCTGTCACTTCTAGAAAAAGAAGCCCAGCCCAGAGGATCCCAGGGTGAATGCTGGACTCCATTCTCTGGCCTGGGCCTTGGCTGACCTGCAGCAGCATGTGGACCCCCACAGGTGTCCCTGGACCCAGCAGGTGGGGTCTTCTGTGTCCTTGAACACGCCTAGAAGCCAGCACTTTGGTCACCATGACAGGCCATCCAGAATGTGCAGGTCACTTTGAATGTATGTTATTGATAAATTCGGACTCTCTTGCTCGAGACAATGCGGGGTCTGTTTCCCGGCGTTCCCGTTCCCCAGAGTGCCTGTCCCGGGGACCCAGGGGCTCCACGAGCTGCAGAAGTGTTGGTGGCCCAGCCTCTCTTCTCCCAGTGCCTCGGGCACACGGCAGCTCTCGGAGGCGGGTGCTCGGTTTTCCGGCCCTGCCGAGTGGACAGGCCCCAGATCCAACGCGCTCGCTTCGAGAGCTGTGTTTCGGACACTCCGTGGCTCAGTCCCACCGGATAAAAACACCTTCCACGGGTGTAGCTGCAATGACGGTCCAAGTGACAGCCTTCTGCTTGGCGATTCCCGCCGCCGGGGCATCCACTGTGGGTGGGTGTGGGCGGGACCCACGCCAGAGCTGCTCCGGAGCCAGTCTCAAGCCGACACCCGTCCCTGACAGTCCCCACACCCTGGACTCGCCAGAGGCCGCGATGACGTCTTGTGGCCACGGGCTTCCGGCGACGACAGACCGCGCCCAAGGACTTAAAGCTGGGAGGAGAGAGGGGTTCGCTGGCGGTCACCCCCCCACTCCTCACGCTGCGGAAGAGCCACAGAACTCTCCAGATGAGCCGTGCTTCTGCAGCCCGTCCTCCTCCTCGCTTGGGCTTCCAGGAACGCAGTGGAAGAGGACGAATCATTTCATACCAAACTTTAATCGAACAAAAAGTTACATTAAAAATTGAGCCAACTTAACAGAAGATAAACGGTATATTCAAGAAACTTTTAATATTAATTTTTTTGTGTGAATTAGAAAGATCACTCATAAATGACGGAAATGACTGGTGAAGCAACCATGTCCCCCAGCAGCAGAGTCGCAGCATTTACACACAGAATACAGAGCTGACTGCGAGGGGGGCCCGGTGTTAAGTCACTGTTAAGATTAAAAAGAGCATCTTCACACCCTGCAGAGCCATGAGTCCGTGAGACCCGTATTTAAAGTAATTCCCTAATAGCATTAAACTATTTTAAGTGCAAAAATTCGTAAAAATCTATGATTGCAGCATCTATCTTCCTGAATGACAGATTTAAGTCAGAAAGCAACAGCCTTCTCCAGGAATGCTTTCCAGCTCGTCTCTGCTCACCTACGTATGGAAACATCAGTGCAAAAACAGAGTGAAGTACTATTTATAACCATTGAGTTTAAGGGGACTTCTCGTCCAAGAATTATCGTATTTTACACTATGTATATATGTATAGGTTTTTATATATATATATGAGATTTTAATTACAGTTGAGTAAAACGCAAGAAAATCCCCTTTATTTTTTTACTACAGCCCCAATAGAACCTTTTTAAAATGGGAACAGCTTCTTTGGGTGAATGGCAGAGAGCGCCCTTCCGAGCGGGCCCCGCGGGTCCTCGCACGTGACTCCGGGTGACAGCTGCCTCTGTGAGTGTCCGCGCTCCCGTCTCCGTCCGTCCGTCGCTCCTGTGGGGCCCCGTCGGGGCGAGGGTTCTCGAGCGGGGGTGCCGCTACACTACGGTTCCACCCGGAGAGCTGGCCTGGTTTTGGGATGACAGTAAGCCCTGCAAACAAAGCAGTTTCCATTAATCCAGCAAAACACGGGCAGCCAAGGAAGCCACACTCATCCTTCGCCAGAGGCTCCCACGACCACAGATTTGTCGGGCTGTTAGCCAGTGTGTGAACAAACCCTCCATTTCTCATCTACTTCTTCCTATCCACGTCACTGTGTGACCTTCCCAGCCACTGAAGCCGGCCCCAGGCTGGGCGTCCTATGCTGGGCAGGGCTGGCCTGGGGAGCAGCGGGCGGCCTCTCGGGGCCTGGGCTCCTGGGGACCTCAGCGATGCCCTTTGACCTCACTTGTCCCCACAGCGGCAGGCCACCACAGGTGGGGTGTAGAGCTTTCTAAAGGTGTCTTCCTGCCGGGGGTGGGGGTGGTCTTGCTTTCTCTGGTTGGGGTGATGGTGGTGTCCCTCTGCCTTCAGCACCGGCATATGGGGCTCAGCACGAGGATAAAGGAGGATCTGGGCCCTGGGCCGTTGGGTTTGGGGACAGGGTGCAGGAGGTCGCCCCACTGAGAGGCGGGAGGCCTGAGCTGAGATCCCCCCAACCCTCGACACAGCAAGGAGCGTCTCCATTTCTCCACGCTCACTGGGACAGAGCCTCCTCGCAGCTCATGTTCGTTCGGTAAGAAATTGAAGGTTACAAGCACGTGACCCTGAAGCCAGGTTTTCAGTTCTCTGAACACAAATAAGCTGTCCTAAGAAGTGCTTCC